TAGTACTACTACTAGTACTGGTACTACTAGTACTGTACTAGTAACCGTAGTAGTCATGTTGTAGCAGTCGGCGTCGCAGTCGTCGTCGTAGTCGTGGTAGTCGTAGTGGTAGTGGCAGCGGTAGTGGTAGTGGTACTGGTCGTGGTAGCTGCAGCAGCAACAGCTTGAGCAGTAGTTTCAGCAGCAGCCAAAGTAAGAGTCGCAGTACACATGCGCCGTTGAATACGACTGCTAGTGCTTGTGGTCACGATAGGATCGCTGTTGGCTCCAGTATGCGCTTGCAGTTGCAAGGTGCTAAGACCGCACACATAGCTTCACAACAGCAGCTGGGTCAAGCTGAGCAAACAATCAGCTGCGGGGTCCGTGCGGGAGACACTCGTCACAGAAAGTTTCCTGACTACATGTACGATGGCAGTTTAGCTGCGTTGCATGCAGCGATAGCTGGCATCATGCCAGCCGAACCATCGACCAAAATGTAGGCAAACGACTTGCGACGACACTTTCGACGCTGTGCCCGCCGCCCTGGCCTCATCCGGTCGTCCGCGGCCACTCCTCGTAGCCCGAAAGCAAAGCATATCATCGTCCCGGTCCCGTGGGATGAACGGACGGGCATCTGGATCAAACCATGATCCCAGCCCCAACACGACACCTTGCAAGTTTCCGAGTTTGGGAAAACAAAGCAGGGTTGATTGCAGTGCTGCGGGATGATCCTTCTTCAGGCAATCGGTTCTAGTTGGGAAGATGGGCCTTCCAGAACTTGACGTCCTGCTCGGGTTCTGCCGCGGTTGTTTCTCATGTTCGAAATCAGGTGCCGATAGCAGGCTACACACAGATTCAAAAGTACTAGGGGCACAGCTACTACGGTAGTCCTCCGGTCTCCACCTGACCACCGAGGCCCGCACTTCAACTCTTCCAGTTCGCTCCTGAGCGTTCCAAGTCTTCTCTGGAACCCTGACGCTTGAAGGCTGGATGCATAGCATTGGCTCAATGTGCTCAATACAGCACAGCACGCAAGAATCACAGCGCATCACAGCAGGACAGCATGCCGTCCATGACCCAACTCACTGGCTCTGGGGCATCGACTTTGAAAGGTCTTTCATGAGCCTAGGAGTCTTGCGAGGCACGAGCAGCCGAATCTTCTGGCAGACAAATCCCATGTATTGCCGATGCTACTGGCCTATAAAGAATCGCAAGCGGAGATGCGGAGCACGCCAGCCAACAAATTGTGCATGGTGGATCTGGCGCTTGTGCTGAGTAACTGACATCTTGTGCAAGACGTGACAGGTGAAATCCTGAACGTCCATGATGTGGACATCCGCAATTCAGGTCTTCTTGCAAGAACGCAATGCCGAACAGGCCAAGTCCAAGTCCTTGATGTCTTCACAGACTTTCAAGGACCTTGTGCAATCAATGATGATCTTGGGCCAGTGGTGTTCAAGCATTCTTGCATAATCAGCAGATTGTTGAAGTCATGTACTACCATATCAATCAACAGATGAAGCATGCACATGGCTCCTAATGCAAAGGCCTTGCTGAGGGATGCTGGGGTGATCGCTCTGGCTCTTCCTTGAGCACTTCGTCACCTTTTCCTTTTGTAAACTGAAGACGGAATACACCTCGATGAACCTGAGGCTTTACAGGGCGGCCTTCAGCTGCACAAGACTACATAGTCTATGTTGCGACTTCGTCTACTATCTCTTCCACTCTGGAGCTTGAGGCTGCACTCAGCAATGGACGGAACGCTTGAAGATCTTGGCGAGGGCCTGTCTAGTGTTAAGTGATTCAGACCCGCCCCCCCCCCGCTAAGTCGATTGCCGGCAAAAGACAACTCTGCGCTTCCAGGACATGGTGCTGGCAGCTATGTCCACGTCGATCAACTGTAGAGGCCTGGATGTTGAAAAGGACTCGATCATAGAGCTGTTCTGCCTCAGCTTCAACAACGGATCCTGCCGTTGCAACACAACCTGAAAAGGCAACCCAGCGGCCACATCATTGGGGTCCACTTCGAGGTCTCCCTTTGGCCTTCCCTTCCGCCTGGCCAGCACATTTCGTGAAAGGCTTCGCTTTGCAGACTTAAGTGAACATGTAGTGAGCAAAAAACGTGGACGTGGCCCTAGCTAGAGTTTCCAGGGTGCAGCAAACAAACAGGTTACTTAGAAGATCTTCACCTCTGTCCGTCCAGCAATCCTGTTGACGGTAATATCGCTCCTGAAGGTCCAGAGACCAAGCGTGTGAGGCCGAGAGAAGCTCGCTACCCCATGTCATTTACCTCTGAGCATCAAATGCTCTTGCCAAAGCCAATGTCATGTCTCGGTGCTGCGAAATACGCGTGCATTAATTGCTGCAGCACCGTGACCAGGCCTCTGCATGTTGGAAAACATTTCCAAGACCTGCTTTCGAATGCTCAGCTCGACCAAGCCTGGGAACCGTGGGTTTGGCGCCAAGTCTGCAAAAACTGGCGGGCAGTAGCAAGCATCTTGGTGTCGCACTGTACCTGCGTTGACCTACGGTTTCAAGGACACTGCCGATGATGTTGCCCAGAACCTCAGCTCGTGAGCTGCTACGGAGCAAAAGCTCCGAGGGCCTGCTTGAGCAGCTGTCGGGAGATCCAACGGCTTTCCACACTTCAAGAGATGCGGTGTTAAGGCACCGTCGACTCTCTCAGGGCCGGACCAGAGCTGCCAAGGGGGTGCAGACGCGAGGACTGAGGGCAGACTTCGGACTTGAAGTGGGGCAAGAGGAAGTCCACTACACTCTCTTCTTCAATAACCGGCCTCAAAAAGCACAAACTTTCCAAGATCGACCCAATATGTAAGGCCAAAAAGTTTAAAGTTTTCCCCAATGGCTATCTAAGTACAAGGTGCTCAGCTGCAAGCGTCAAAAGAAAACCTAGAGAGCCTCAGTCTGGGCCAAAGCCGCTAGCCTGCACCGCAGCCTGAGGCTGTCTGCCTACCCGCCTACCCCACTGCCGCGTACATCCAAGGGCAGGGCTCCGACTCTTCGAATCCTTTGGCCTCGTTGCGTGACAGTCAGCAGCGAGAGTCGAACCACCAGAAGCATGTGCTGAACACCTGCATGTTGTCCACTGTTACTCATTTCGAACAGCAGGAGAAAAGCCCATCACTGCCACAACCTTGGAGCTTCATCTGGAATGTGCAATCCCCTTGGCTCTCTCCCGGTCAACTGCCAGCTCGTTGTCCACCACACAGCCCCTCAATTCTGAGCCAATCGGCGGCCGGGCAGTCGTTTAGCATGGTCTTGAAAGCGCACCTGAGCCGTGCGCAGTACTCGGTACAGCTGCCTGAGGCCCAAGTGGCCGGCACTCGCCGATACCAGCAAGCACAAGACTGACTAGCAAGCATGAGATCTCTGTCTCACATGGCATGTGCACAGACTGCCAACCTGAGGCCAGTGACACAAGCAACATTCGGAAATCTTTTGCACAGTCCTCTGCCAGAAGGTCCGTCACCTTCGAGCTGGCACCGCGACATCGGCTCTCGGGACTGTTCTATGCAGAATGCAACCAATAGAGCGCTAGAAGTTGGTAACAAGCTGAAGATGAAGCCTCAAAGCAGAGAGTCCCTGCATATGGCCTCGTGCAAACCTTGAAGGCTCTGGCTTCACGACAGAAAAAAATTACAAGTTACAAATGCATTTGATGTTGTAGTATGGAGGGCGTTCACAAGCCTCTCTGAAACCTTTGCGGTCGTAAGTACAGGCTCGCCGCGGGCAGCGCTGTAGACACAAGCCTTGCTTGGGCACCGACAAAGTGCTCTATGAAGCTTGTGATGCAGCCCGCATGCACATCCTGCGCGCGATGGCAACGGCCCATCAACAAATCCCGAATGATGTTGGAGGCTGGCGATGGCACATCAACCTTCATTCTTTGTTCAATGGCACGTGGGCCAGTTGCCTCCCACGACTGTCACAACCGCCGCCCAAACTCAAACCTGCACATCACTCCTTGCTGTCATGGCCAGGGGTTGCAGGCTCCTGTCGACGGAGGCTCGAAGGACCGCCACATCACTGGTGTAAGCCCTATGCATTACACCTGTGACGACGGCTGCCACTGCTGCTGCTGCTGCTGCTGCTGCTGCTGCCACCACTACTGCTAGACACACCGCCAGCCGGGAGGGCACACGACGAATAGTCGGTCTGAAGACATCACATCGACATGCGGTATGCATGCGGCATGCGCCGGAGATAACAAGCCCGGAGATACGAGAGAGCCCAAGGTGGAAGGGGAACAGTAACTCGGAGCGATGTATGAGCGCTCTGCCATGGAGACGCCTACAAGCATACATGTGCACGGCAACATGTCAGTACTTGTGCGACAAGTGTGCTGCAAACCCCTCCAGGTATGCCAGTGCTTTGTGTGGTATGATTGGTCCAGTGCTGGCCTTCCCACAAGCTCGCTGGAGGTCTGCTAGCTCGTTCTGAAAGTTGTAGAGGTAGCTCTTCTGCGACGTCTTACCTCAACTGCTTGAAAAGGTAAAGCGGGAGCTGCGAAGTTTGCACTGGCTCCCGGTTTCTACATGCACGATTGTGCAAAGCTTGCGCCTGGATGTGCGGCCTTGTCCGCGTTCGCCTTCTTCACCAGTTCCTGCAGCGCTCCAAGCGACTGCAAGCAGCAGCCACCCTCTGAAGCCTCGGAGAAAGCCTCGAATTTCATAATCACTACATGAATCAAAAAAACATGCAAGCCGCTTGATGTGACCACGCCGTCCTGATACTCTGGATAGTGCGTTGTGAACACCCCAGTCACATGGGAATGTTCTGGAGCTTCTGTCCTGTTGAGAGCTCCGTCAGCTCCAGGAGTCAAGACAAGTCAATTTCAGGAAAGGGGACCACCAAGTCCCCTTAGGAAAGCGTACTAGGTAAGTCGTGAAAATACTGCCCTCAGCATGTTCTCTGCAGGAACCTGTGTAGTAGGTGAGCTTGTGATAGAAACGTGGCATATTTCGTGTGCATCTCTGCATCAAACACAAAACTTGACCTCATGCGCACTGCCTGTCTGTACTGTAAGCCTGATGCTCCAAACCAGAATGCTTTACATCCGTGCACGTGCCAGCCCGTCCCAAGCACACGGGGCGTCTCACCGTCCTTAGCCAAAGCTGAAAGAGAGGTTGTGCAGACTTCGCTCCAGCTGTATGCGACTATCCTCTCATCAGGCGGAGCGCCGTACCACGAAAGCAAAAACCAAAACAGCAACACTCACAAAAGAGCAACTCACATCCGTATCGGATAGCACATTTGATGACACTACGAGAAACATATTACAGCAATGAAAGCTCGAGGAAGGATAAATAGGGATAGATCGAAAGCATTCGAAAACCCCGAACAACATGCGCAGCTTCACGGAAACATGCACACTACCTGACGGACATGAACGGATTCAAGCAAGCACGTGCTAGAAAGTCGACGGCGCATGAGACTTAGCCTGAATAGCCGTGCCGGGCAGCCCTCTTCAGAAGCGTGTACCGGATGATGGTAGAGACCAAGGAAGTCTCCACCTGCTGCAAGGTGGCTTGAATTGGCAGAGACTACATCACAAAAGATGTCTGAGATACCCTCGGGCTCAAGCAACCAGAAAGCTGAGATCTCGTCAAGCCTTTGAACACTGAGGCCTGCGGGTTGAGGATGGGCAGCACCATTCCCTCCACAAACGCTGAGTGCGTGGAGAGCCTGAGCAATATGGCCAGTCCAGTCCGGTTACATAAGAGCTGAGCACTTTCAAAATGAACGACTGACTTGAAAACTGAGGCGTTGGGCTGTGTGAACAAGGATGCAGCGTGTGATTTGAACGGGTCAAACAGGTCGTGCAGGAACTTGGCCTGGCTGAGGGATGAGGTGTTACGCGCGTTGATGTGCGCGAGTTCTTTGTATCGCTCAGGGAGGTTTAGGGAAAAGCTGAACCGCCAAACAGACTCTGGCTCGGCTTGGCGAGAACAGAAAGTGCGGAGGGGGTGGTGCCGAACCGCTACACCAGTCGCCGTGCTGTTTCGACCTCGAAATCCTCTCTTCTCGATGAGGCGGATGTGAGCAGGCGATGCAGCGAAACAGCTAAACAGGTATATAAGTGGTCCTGCTGCATCTCGGACTTGATGATGAGACTCAACCTCGGGAGCAAAGCGGGTTCTAGTGATTCTAGCTTGAAATTAGCACTGAAGTCTGCAAGATTCTGAAACGCTGGAGCCCTTCATTTGTAGTGTTGTCGATCTTGCACGGAAACAGCACAAAACAACGGATACGATGTCTCGTAAACCCAAAGTAAACCTGGAATCCCGACGACATCTCCACAGACTCCGTTCTGAGACACCGGCATAGATTTGAAGAGATGAACCGTGCCTGAGCAGCAGGCTACAAGTAACATGCTCCACAAAGGCTTCTGTCGGGGCGTGATTGCAGCTAGCCACTTGCATGTAGCTGAAAGGCCCGGTGTTGGCATGTACACGTTGAAACAAGGGAGAAAGGGCATCTACCGGAGGGCAACTTTCAGGAGACTCGATTGCAAAGATTGCAGACCGAAAGGGCGTCTTCACTGCAGATGGGATCGCAGCTGAGGTTCCGGCGTGGTTGGAAGAGATCATGATAGATGCGCTCGCACATGGTGCGGAAGGTGCGAGTGTCTGCTTCCTCGAAGTCAGCTATTCAAGCTCATTTGCGGAAATTTCATGCATGCGCCTCGGGTAAAGCACATGTATGAACCTACGTTGACGTTACAACGATAACAACCTCGCCTCGCTATCTTCACCGGCTTTGCTGAAGGGAGCAGTTGCAGACACCCCCGGCAGGTAGTGATACAAATCAAACAACACACAGGCCCAGATTGAAGATTCCAGCCTGCCAAGAACCTAGCTGCGTCTAGCTTACACGATCCTGGACAAACTTTGGGGATCTAAGCTTGTCTGTTTCAAGCAGCCCCCTCGAACGGAAAGGGTAAAGACTGTTGGACGCACCATCGCGGAGGTCTGGGTCTGGAACGCCCGCAACTGTTTGCAACGCACCTAGATGCTGCCAATGTTGGAGCACGCTATCAGGAACTGGGCTGGCCATTACGTGCACTGACTTCAGGACAGGCCCCAGCCTAAGCCGTTGGAGGTCGAACGCGTTTTCGAGAAAGCGTGGGCCATCATAGACGATCTTCGCGAAGATCAAGGACAACGGGAAGTGGCAAGCGTAGCCGCAGTGTTGCTTTTCGAACATCAGCTTTTGCCAGCCGAAGTGTTTGAGCGACGAATGCAGAATGTCTGTGTGGACTGTGCCTTCCGCGAAGCGGCACAATTGTAGACAGGGCTGCAGCGCGTATCGCGGCTTCTGTTTGTGCTCTGGGGTCTGTCCGGTTGTTGAGCCTGACTCGTCTGACCTTCCCTTGAGCAGACAGGAGAGAGAGAGAGAGTGTGTGTGCGTGTGCGTGTGTGTGTGTGTGTGTGTAAGTCAAAGACACAACCCAAACAATCGCAACCAACCGAGATCAGTCACTTTCCCCAAGGATACACACTCACGCAAACATTCTTTTATGCGACCAAGCCAGTCTTGTCCAGGCTTGAGCAAAGGCCGTTCGGCATCATAGCCCTCGATAATGCATCATGCTCATTGGGTGCATTCTAGGGGTCGTGTCACTTAACACAGTCCCTCGTTCCTGACTGTTTAGTCGAGGATCATTCAAACAATAACCATCACACGGCAGCATTTGCGAAGCGATCAAGAAACATTCCAAACAACAACTTCTAGGACAATTGCCTACATTTAGGACAGTTTGGCTGGGCTCGGATCAGTCCTGTGCTTGTGAAATTCGGAGGCACGTTGCACTGTACAGGCAATTGCGCATGCAGTCGGGCATTGATTGATCCACACACCATTGGATCCGAGAACTTTAGTCTCTGCAATCCACAGAAAACCTCCATTCACCATTCCAACCATGATTTCACATTGCAAAACATGCGGCATTGTTTTTGCACTCCTAAATTCATTCGATGGCTCACTCGGCAGCCTCGCTTGCTACCCCTGGCATTCATTCGGAGCACAATCTCAGTGACGACCGGGGCGACGGCAGTCGCAGAGAAGGAGCGAATCTTCATTCTCAGACAGCTCATCCCAGATGGAGCAGTCATGTGCCAATCCACCGCCATAACATCACCATGGTGTGACCCATCAGCTGTGTGCAGATCCGTTTCTCGCCTCCCTGACCAGTCCCCATTCCGGCCAACGGCTCGCGCAAGCTCCGCTGTCGAACAGTATCCACGACTTGTCAACCAGTCCAACCTGCAAGTGAAACTCAACCATTCTATCGTCAGAACCCATTGTATCAAGCTGTGGACTGCTCTTTGGGGTGAGCGGTGGCACTCGGGCACTGAGCGCACCAAACAAGAGGCATGCTCCGACGAACAGGTTCGTCATCAGTTGAATCTTTGCACCTCGGGGACAGTCCTGACAGATTTGGTGGCCTTCTGATCCTGAGCTTCGACAGTCACCGCTGCTACATTCGGCGGCGGTTCAGTCTTGGCGGGGTCCTGAGGGACGTTAGCCTGAGATCCGGACGCAGCAGTGGAACGCGGCGGTTCCACATTCCAGACCAAGACCAGTCTCCAGACCAGTCATCAAGCGAGACCCACTCGCGACTCCAGTCGTGGTCACCCCAAGACGACCAATCATCATAGTAACAGTTACCATCTTGATTCCATTCTTGATTCCCTTCCCCTTGCTGATTCTCCTGCTGACCTTCCTCTTCGGTAACTGCGGACATTCTACCCTTTCCCCCTTTCGGGCATTCTTTGCTCCAGTGGTTTGGGTCACAACACAGAAAATATCCTTGTCCTTTGCCTTTTCCTTGCTTTTTCCTTTCCATCCTTTCTTCGCTTTCAGTGCTCCTACATCCATATCGGCTTGGCCATGGTGGTCATTCCTGCCGCTCGGCACAGTCGGGTGTCTGCTCTTGATGAAACTATACAGACTATACACAATCTCCAGGGCTTCAAGGAATTTTTTGTGATTCCTCGAACATTCAACAGCAAATGCTGCTGCAACGGACCAGTCGTCTTCTGCATTAGCAACGTGACCACGAGATCATTGTCCAATCGTCTACCCGTCGTCTTCTCACGTCTGTTCTTTAAAATCATGAACTCACTCAAGCCACCCTCAAGATGATCATTCCTGAGCTTACAGCCAATGATCTCATTCGAGCTCGAGCTCTATCGGGCAGTGAGAACTGCTTGTGCAATCGACATCAAATCTCAAAACCATTCTCTGTGTCCTCATTGCGAACCATAGCCCTTGCTGCACAACCAGTGATTTGTGCCAACATGTATGCCAGTTGCTTCGAGAACAGTGACAGTTGGTTACTCTGGTCTCTCGTTAGTTGCACGTCAAATGCTTCACACAGGTCATCATCAGTGATCACTATATTCGAGCCTTTCACGTCATCCATCCTCAGTTTGGCATCGGCTTGTAAAGGCCGACACAATGCTTCAGTTGCCATGACAGTCTTCCCATTTCTCCAACTCCCTGTGGGGACGGTATGATCTCTCCGCCAATCCCTCTCGTTCCGAAGTCCATTCTCCTTTACCTCCAGAGCCGAAGCTCCGCTACCATGTAAAAGTCATACAGCCAATCTAAACAATCGCACGCAACCGAGATCAGTTTCTTTCCCCAGTGGTACACACTCACGCAGACATTCCTTTATGCGACCAGGCCAGTCTTGTCCAGTCTTGAGCCAATGCCATTCGACGTCATAGCATTCGGTAATGCATCATGTTCATTGGGTGAATTCGAGGGGTCGTGTCATTTAACAGAAAGAGAGAGAGAGAGAGAGAGAGAGAGAGAGAGAGAGAGAGAGAGAGAGAAGGAGAGAAAGAAACAGGCAAGAAAGTCGTGCTGCAGGGTGGAGGTCCTGCAAGCTTCCTTTTCGTAAGGCCGAGCTCAGGCGTGCCATGTAGACCGGCTGCTGCTGCAGGATCCACGCCAGCTCCTTCAGATGGAGACAGCACGGACATCCGTTTTAACATTGTGCTGGACTCCTGGTATCAGCGAGTGCTGGAGAAGGAGCGGTGCTAGTCACTCAACACCAAAACAAGCGAAAGACGAGCAACGCAAGGCACCTCGAATTTGCAAAGCTTTCCCTTTATCTCGGGGTCCGTTTTGACCTTGACAGGATTGGCATGATCAAGAAAGGCTCTTGGCTGGAGGACTCTGCACAGGCTGGCCTTAAAGCCGAGTCCCGAGCCCAATACGCGTTCTCCATCTGAGGGCCCTCGCCGCTTCCATCAAGGTTCATGGCCTGGGTATCACGTGAATGTGGTGCAGCATGGCTACCTCTAAGTCCTCTAAGTCTCCAAGACCTCACTCACACTCTGCGCCGGGGGCCGCGACGTGCAGAGTTCGGATGTAATCCACCTGCAGATTCTCAAATTGGTCTGGGATGGGTCGTAAAAGGGCTAGGCGACAGAACCTCAAGCTCCTTCCGAAGATGGCGTAGCCTGTCAGCCGGGCGTGTCCCTTCGCTTTGCAAGGGGCCAGGCCCAGGCCCTTCGCGGCCCTTCGCACTGAGCCCTGGACTCGTACTCGCATGGGTCCGACCCTAGCCGTGTCAGGCGGCATGTGCGGCGCATGCGCGGCGCAGGCGTCATACGTGGAAAGGCTAGGCGATCATAAGCTTCCCGCTTGAGTCGGGTTTGTCCCACATTTTGTAGATGAAGTCCAGGTGACCATCGCACATGCGCTTTACCTGCAGGGACAAACCCCGCATCTCGAGCCCCCAGCAGCTGCTCTCACTGCATCATTGGCCCTCTGTTGCTGCCTGACGTTCCCTGTCCTGTAAGGCCTTGAGCTTGCAGTCCTGAGAGCGTCAGGCTCAGCTAAACAGGCACATGCGTCGAGTTCGACGCATTTCAGGGTCCCGGCTGCTTTCTCCTCGAAGAGCTTTCGCTGGCAGTCACTCCAGGTGTTGCCTCTGCACGTGCTCCAAGAGGACAGCTTTCGCTGGCACAGAAAGCTGATAGCCGTTGCAGTTACCGTCCCGAACACCGGGGCAGAATCTAGCAGTTGCTCTTGCTGATTCGCTGGGACGCTTTAGTTGCATCGTCGCATCGCTGACAGCTTGAGCACGGCCAAAACCTGGAACCCGAAATCCCGAAACAGAATCAAAGAAGTTCACCTCCTGGTCCGGAAAATACAGTATGGTTCCCGTTCGCAGGAAACTACATGCGCTGTGCTTTCTGGGCATCCAGCTGGGCTCGTCCAGTTTCGCTGCATCCTCCGCCACACTTTGGTTGCTCTCCCGTACCTTGGGCTTCCAGCGCTCCTCCTTAGTCGGTGTTGAAACTGCACACGAGAAAGCCAAAACAAGGCTTCCTCTCTAACAAATTCAGCGGCCTCGGGAGGACAGGACTGGCTAGACTGAGGTCGCCGCTACCTTCATGGGCGGATAGACGCCTGAGAAACTCACCGTCATAAGATGCGACAGGGAGGGGGTTCTCTGCAACAACACCCAAGACCCAAGATTCACCGGACAGAAAGATGCATTCCTGCGTGCACTTCAATCAGCAGGCCATGAAAGGCCACGATCGAAGACACAAGCTCTCTCATACACCTTTATCAAAACTGTAAACGCCCTTCAAGCATGCTGAAACCATGGTTAGTGGTTGCACCCTATCAGACCTCGCCGCTGTGACGAAACTTGGGAGCGACTTCATGCGACGATCAGACAGGTGGCCCTGCCTGTTTGCAAAGTCGTAGCTCTAGCTAGTATACATGATTCGAGGAAAAGCTCCATACCAGAAGTGTCCGAAGCCTAAACTCCTAAACGAACCCCCGGCTGGCAAGTGCCAGCTCACGAATACTGACGAAGGTTGATCCAGCGCTCGCGATCACTTGGGCACTTGGGTAGGTATTATGCTCAATACTGATGCTCTCTCGCACCCGCTGCTTGGCAGGCCGGTAGACGGTGGAAAGTCTACAAGGCCCCTTTCTCTCCTCGCTACCGCATGCGCCCGTCGACTGATTATAACCTGCACCATGTTCTGTCAGCGCAGCCTAACACTGCAGGTCCGCACACCTGCACTAGCTCGACTCACTTTGGAGGAGCACACCGCTACCACAACTTCATTCAACACCGACGCACTCCTCTTCCAGCCACTTCCTCGGCTACCGGCTACAGTCTTACGTGCCACGAGGGTGCATGACATCCAGTTGGTGTCAAAAGCTGAAGACAGGCAGTCGTTCTCAAACCCACACTGCCGATACGCAAACATTCACATCCGAAGACATGTTACTCGCTTGCGGCAATGCAGGCAGGGCAGGTCCTAGCCACAGCAATGGATAGTATTGGCATCTACTTGCATGACCAAACTTCGCACCTGAATTTGCCGGCTGAGGTTCAAGTAGCCCGCATTGCCACCAATGCTTGTCCACCGGACGGACTGCCCCGCCTGTGCCTCAACCAGCGGCTTGCACCTTGCCACCTCGGCTGTGCTGAGGCTCCACATCGCAGACGCGCGAATACGTGCTTGGCTGCCATTCGTGCCAGTTGTGTTGTGCGGAAGCCGCTTACAGAATGCGCAGTGGCCCTTCAACTCTGGACTTGCAGCAGCCATCCATGGACTCCACACACTGAGTATGTTAAGTCAAGTTGCCGTTTTGACTGCCAAGCTCGTTGCTGAAGCTTGTGCGCAGGCCACGATGCGTTTTGCCACCAGTTTCTCCTCGGCTGACAAGACGAAGGTATCCACGGAAACAAGCCATCGATTGTCCTACTGGCGAAGTGTCGGCGACTCTGACGGCCTCCTCACCTCCCATGGCCAGCACGCCCTTCCTGGAAGAAGGCCGTTTGTTGCAGTTGACTAGCTTCGGGTCTGGACAGGCCTTTGCATCAGACACCTTCTGCACTCCCGGTCCCCTTGTTTGGAACAGAAAATCGAGCCATTGTACAGCGGCGGCTGTCCAGTAGGCAGGCTCAGCAGGGGGCTCAGGAAGGTCGTAGATGATCATGGGCAGATCATAGCTGTGAGCTCTCCTTGGCTCCATCCCAATAAGATCAATAGACCACGAAAGTGCTGACCACATTGTGACTGTCATTGGCCTAGGCTCGTCACCACCTCCTCCACCTCCGAGAAGGGTGCCTCGATAGCTGGCAGGGGAAAATGTGCACTGAGCCCAGGCAGCGCAAGAAAGAACGGACACGGTGTGCTCAACTGCTTTAGGGGTTGCAGCAGTTTTGAGTGCAACTCGCCATTCAGGGTCAAAGTTGACTTTGCCCTCCCACCAATAGTAGCTCTTGACCTCCTCTGTCGTGGCCTCACATGAACTTCCAGGTCACGACACCATGCAAGAACGCCTGAAACGGCCCGGAACAGGTTGAACGACCAAGCTGCGACCGGGACATCCCGACGCTGCATCCCGCCTCAGCTTCTAAGACCTTGCTCGCTTCCACAATCTTGGCGGCTTTATCCACGGCGTCCTCGAATGGCATGTTCAGCTGCCTACGGGAATTCCGGCCGCGATCTCGCCTCCGTAGTAAGCACCGTGATCGGGGTCGACGCCTGGGGATATCTGCTCGAACAAGCAAATCAAGTCTGCAAGGCGTGCCAAGTGCTTCTGGCATCACCTCTTCGAATCAGTGTTATAATGGCAGTAAAGCTGTCAGTGGCAGGATTGAGACTGTTGTTAAATCGAGGTGCCATGGCCGCGAAGGGCCGCAGCGCCGCCAGGCTGTTGGGTCGGCTCCAGTGCCACGGACCGCTCGAGGCCAAAAGGAGCAGGGAGACCCGGCGCATGGCTCCGCGAAGCTTGAGCAACGCAGCCGCGACGGCTCGAAAAAGCAGAGCCCCAAGGCCCCAAGAGCCTCGGCTCAGTCTCCGGTCCTGGGAGTCCGGCGAAGGTGCTTCGGCCCGGTGGTCTGAGTGCGCTCAGGCGGCAGGCCCTAGCCACGGGATGTGTCGCGCGAGTCGCCGCCTTACACTTCGTGGGCCGTGGCTTGGGATTTGGGCCTTGTTTCTCTCCCGGATCTGGAGCATCTCGAGCTTGTTGTCGACCTTCCATATCCATGATGGTCAAGAAAAGAAAATTGCGCTTTTCGGAAGCTCAGCTCGGTTCGTCCAGCTCGAGTCCCAGTCTGCCCGACCTTGATAGCGGGGTGCTACAGGACTGGACCGAGCACGCCTGTCTCAGTGCCCCGCCCGCTGAAGCCCCAAGCATAGACCACCGGCCTGGGCTGCACGGGCTGCGCCGCGGATCCGACTTGGGCATCCCACACATTCAGTGCTTTGCTCTGCACTTTAGCTGCTTTAGCTGATAGCACACGTTCGCGAGTTTGGTGGGCTTTGTGGAGGATTCCTGTGCAAATACACCGGGGTACCTCTTTTGCTCCTCGCACATGGCTCATTCGTGCCACCACACGCTGTCTAAGCCTGCATGCTCTCGGCCCTCGATCCAGTTACTTACAATTTCTCATAGGCTGATATAGAAACTCGCTACGGTGAGGCAAACTAATTATTGATTGCACCAAGCCCGCAGGTGACTTGCTGCTGAGTCCCCAAGCGATCGAATCAACCACTACTGGATTCGCAAGATCAGATGCTCCCCGGAATCTGTGGAGACGATGTCTGAGAGCTCCCCAACCTGGAGCGCGAACGAAGCCTCCTGCGAAAGCTGGTTAGGAAAAGTTCTTTGTGTGTGAGGGGATTCAGGAGCCATGGATCAACGGAATTTAGGACCTTTCCAACTACGAGTATGGGAATCCAGCCTTTTTATCATGTCACCCTGAAACACAGCTGCGGGGTAGGACGGTAAGACATACCTCAAAATAAGAACGAGCATGATGGCACATTGGACATGGTGCTCTGCATCTTGCAGGGCTTACCAAATTCTGCTCGAAGACTGGCACTCCTTCATTGTGCATCAACCCGAGCGCATGTTTTGCTGAAATTCTGGCTCGGTCACGGTCACGATTCTTGCCTTGCCGGCGGTTGGCGGCGCAATTTGCCTCCACCGCAGCCCTGAGACAAATGACAGGCCCAAGCTATGTTTGTGTCAACATCCCGGGTGCGGGTGTGACTGTGGCTGTGTGTGCGCGCATGTGTGCGCGCATGTATGTGTGTGTGTGTGTGTGTGTTTCTGTGTCTGTGTCTGTGTCTGTGTCTGTGTCTGCGTCTGTGTCTGTGTCTGTGTCTGTGTTGTGTGTGTGTGTTGTGTGTGTGCGTGTGTGTGTGTGTGTGTCTGTCTGTGTGTGTGTGTGTGTTTTGTGTGTGTGTGTGTTGTGTGTGTGTGTGTTGTGTGTGTGTGTGTTGTGTGTGTGTGTGTTGTGTGTGTGTGTTGTGTGTGTGTGTGTTGTGGGTGTGTGTGTGTTGTGTGTGTGTGTGTGTTTGTTTTTTTTGGTGTGTGTGTGTGTGTGCTTTCTGTGTGCTGTGTGTGTGTGTGCGCGGGTGTGTGTGTGTGTGTTTGTTTTGTGTGTTTGTGTGTGTGTGTTGTGTGTGTGTGTGTTGTGTGTGTGTGTTGTGGGTGTGTGTGTGTGTTTTTTGTTTGTGTGTGTGTGTTGTTGTATCTGTTTGTGTGTTTGTGTGTTTGTGTGTTTGTGTGTTTGTGTGCTTGTGTG